TCAAAATTAATTCTAAAGCCAAAGACATTCTTGTCAGACACATCTTTGCACAATTAGTACTTGAAAATAATTGCAAGTTGCAATACCTAACATGCTAGGACTTCTTTTCCCTCAGGAATCAATTCTTGCATCTTAAATGTTTTGCACATTTGTTTGTGTTCATTTTCATGATTAAGGAGAGCATGTGTGAGATGTGAAAAAGGTTCTGCTAGCTTTTGAGGTCAAGGTTACACCAAGGAACCTGAAAGTAGAAGCAGAAATAATGGTTTGATGGCTGTGGTTCTCATGATTTCCACATGACTTTGAAAACTCAAAACTTCCCTAAAAACAGCACAGGACTTCACTTTGGCTGCAACAGGGTTCCATCCTTGTCAGCTGACAGCTTTTCTTGCAGGATTTCTCCTAGGCTGGATCCCTGGTATCCATAGGCTCTATATGTCAATTGGAGCTGTATATCCAACCTTGGAAAAACTAGGCAAGAAAAGACACTGGCTGCTGAGGAACCCTACAAGGCAATATGAGAACGCTGTAATGTGTGCATGATAAGAAGCTGATAAAATGGCTTTGTTCTGTAGCTTCAGGGTCCAGTTCTGCAAACACCATGCAGCAGACTATTACACTGGCAAACTGAGAAACCTTTGGTGCTGTAGTTTCTACTTGGTCTTTGCAAATTGGGTGTGTCATTTTCATGGAAATTCTTCACAATTAGCCAGAGTTGGCTTTTTATGTTGTAAAACTTTCAGGATGACACTTTATAACTGATACTTTGTCAGGTAACTGAGTGTTACAGTTTGCTGTATGTATGCAAAAGGTACTAGAGCTAGAGTTGTGATTTGTGCTGCAATCTGTTCACTTTGTTAAAAAAACGCAAACCAAAACCAACTATTGCACTAGCTGTACTTTAAAAAAAAGCAATAATGGGAGCATCTTGTAGCTTTTCCCCTCCAGAGGTGCTGTCATGGTCACTTCACTGTCAACTGTGAATTTGGTAAAACATGTTGAAGAAATTGTCCTATGTGGTTTACTTGTCACATACAAGTTGAAATTTTTTACTGTCAGCCTGTGTACTAATGAATACAGGTGGACTATTTACATAACCACCCACATCTTTAAAAATCAAAAACCTTATATCCATTTATGGTGCTAATAATCTCAACTATTATAAAGAGCTGGTATTCTCTTATTACACATGAACACTTAAGGAAAGTTGTGACACCTTTCAATAAAATAAAATTTCTCTACGTTTTAAGCCTGCTCTAAATGTTTTTTATATAAATACAACACTTTTCTATTTGTTATATATAAAAATGGCAAAAAATAGTATTTTAATGCAGGAAAACATTAGGAGTGTACATTTTTCTAAATTATATGTCCAATTCTAAATTTTCATACATTTAGGATAGCTAATCTTCTGAAACTCAGTCGAAAATCTAAGAATTTCACTAGGTAGGATTAAGGGACAGGCTGGTAGTTTTAATAAAATAATTCTCTGACTTCATTATCACTGTTGAAGCCTAGGAGACAGAGGGAGCGGATGTGAAATGGACAAAGCTGTATTAGGAGGACACTGGTTATACAGTGTAGATGTATAATTTGCTGAAACTTTAAAAAACCCCAAACAACTTGTTATGGATATGACCATGTAGCTGTCTAAAGAACAGAAGTGAAACAACATAATTGTCAAGGCAGTTCGCAGTAGGACATTGTAAAAACATGTGAAAGAACCTTAAACTAGATTATTTAGATTGTGAAACAACAAAGTAATTTTCTAGCTTTGTTTGAAAGTTTCACAAGCAACTTTTTCTTAAGAAGGAAAACTATCTTGTGCCTTCTGTTGCAGAAGTTATTGTTGCCTTCCCCCTGCCTTTGGTTGTGATTTTATTGTATATAATGGACAGTGCACTTCCAGATGGTTCCAACAGGCGTTTTTTGGGCAGCAGTACCTATACTTTCTATCCACAGAGAACACTGAGCCTTTAGTTCTTGTTAAAGGCCATTACTTGAGAGCTTACAGTTGTGAAAGTATCTGCCTGTGGTAGGTATGGCATTCCTGCTGGAGTCAGCTGTTAGATGAGCATGATGCCCTGCATTCACCTGGACACGTGAGCGTGCGGAGCGGGTGCCATGCCCAGGTGCACTGGTGGCACTGCAGCACACCCCTCTGCTCTGAAGTGGTTGTACCCCAAGTTGCTATGCTTCATGTACTAGAATAAATTCTCTTTAACCACTTCCACCTAGTACTTCAAGAAGTAAATGGGCTTCCCTAAGATCTGTTTGATGGAATTTCTGTATCAGTGCAAAGAATATTCCATGTTTAGAGTAACTTAATTTAAAGCAGAAACAAGCCCACTATCTAGGGCTGGGTGGGGTTTTTGTTGTGTGAAGGTGGATAGTCTAGGAACAATAGTCTGGGTTGTCTTCCTACTTTCACTGTGCCTGTTTTTATAGTAGGACCCTTGGAAAAGCCAAAGATTGAACAAAGTCATCCATAATAGTTCTAAGCCACATTGAAATATAATTTTCCTGTCTTAATTACTAGATGCTTCAGAGAAAATGGACTGTATTTTTTTAATTTCCAAAAAGTGCAATACTTACAGAAATATTAAGAGGCAAATGGCTGCATGTTTCAATGCCCTGCAAAAACAAAACCTTTATGAGCATGTGACATGCACTTGACCAAAAGTGGAGATTTTTAGCTTTACAGAAACATGTTTCAGTGCACTAGTGTAACTCAGAACTTTAAAATATTTTCAGTGTGCTTTTGGTGAGGAGTGTGTTTTTATGAATGAAGTGCCTGTGGAAGTAAAAATCCTTAAGTTGCCTGCAAGCTCAAATAAAGCATATAAAACCATAGCCCATACTTGAAGAGAATGGGTGCTGTCAGCAGCTGCAGAGAACAGCTGGTCAATAGTCCTAAGTGTTGATAGAATTTAAAGATTAAGATAAAGTTTGAGCAAAGAATATGATATTGCTTTTGAGAGTTTACTTTGTTAATTAAACTTCCAATGCTTCTTCTTGGGCCTTAACTCTGTAACTTGGTTATGTTTAAGGAAAAATTAGTTCCTTTGAACTACTCTATTTTTAATGCTTTTTTTCATTATAGTCTTTACTCTGGTGGGAATTTTTGTTTGCTTGTTATGTGGAGCTATTTTTTGACCTGTTAAAAGTGGAGTTACCAAATTCTTTGATTACTTAGTTAGGGGTAAAAGAGTTTGAAGAATGGTGTTTCCTTAAATGCAGAATTAAAGGGGGTGTGGTTTTTATTACTAGGACTGAACAGGAAGGATTTCCATGGAAAATACTGTAGTGTTAAAGCTTGTATATGTAGTTATTAGGGGTATGCAGAATATTAGTAAAGTACTTGGATATGTTTTGCTGTTAATTTAATGCTTTAAAAAGAGGCTACTTGGTTCTAATTTAAATTGAAGAAACAGATTTTAATGTTGCAACAGCTATTATTTTAACTTGAAATATCCACTTATATACTGGTATGTTAGAGGAAAAGTTATTTTATCACTTAAAATTTTGAAATTTATCATATTTCCTTATCAAAATTAATGTGCAATTTAATCTCTGGACATCCTGGCCATATACCACTGAAACCAAACTTTCAGCTGCATAGATAGGGAAGGAAGGCATTTTTAAAATCTAGTTCAGCTTCTTGACTAGACTGAGAAGGAAGTGAGGCTAGATTACTCTTGTACAAAGAAAACAGACAAAAACAGTTATGTGTTTCAGCTGTGCTGAATACCTTAGCTTCTTATTTTCACACTACAGAACTTAAACTTTTCTGGAGACTCAGATTTAAAATATCTTTAGTTCAGCTAAATTTTGATCTGTTTTTATATATTTTTTCTAATAGATGCATTTTATTTGTGTACATTGTAATTAGCTGCTGAATTTCTGCCAAATATGGACAAAATAAACGCTGTATTCTATTCTGCCAGTCTAAATCTGTTCCTAGTTTTTGTCTTTTGTTCAATCCATGGCTGGTAAAATGTCCCTTTGCTGTTTAGATTAAAGAGACAGTTGCCTTAATTGCTCAGAGGAAAACTGACCTTGACCATTTAAAGCTTTATGTATTTCTGAAATTGCTGTAACTTCTGTATAATTGCAATAAAACCTTTTTAATACAGTTCAGCCACTATTTTATAAGCAACTTGTCACTATCTTTACTGAATGTTCAACTGTTTAAAAAAAAAGTTTGTTTAGCAAAACCCTTTTTAATGGGAAAACTCCCTTTATTCTGTCCATTTTTTTGGGGATCACCTTATAGAAGGAGCACTGAGGGCAAAACAGGAATACTTTTCTCTATTAGTAAGAGTATATCAAGAGCACTTACTAAACCCACTGGTGCTGCAGTAAATTATTGGGAAGAGCAGACAGTGGCAGGTTTTGACATCTAATTACCTCTCTAGGGGTTAAATTTTATATTGCTGATCCGCTGGGAAAAGTGCACTAAGGTGTTTACTAGAGGGAGGGGAAAGTTACCCTCAAAACCAGTTCTGGGTGGGTTTGGGGGATTGGGGTGTTTGGGTGTGTTTTGGGTTTTTGTGTCTGTGTTTGGGGGGTTTTTATTGCTATTTTATTGGAGAGAAAGGAGGAGAGCTACATGTCTTTCTCCTCTAGAATTTAAGTGCCCTAAAAAAAATTTCAAGTGCCCTTTCCTCTAAAATTTCAGAGCTGGGACATGATTCTAGGTTCGTCTTTGGCCTGGAAACAGAAAGTTTCGAACTGCGGGTTTTTGTGTTTGGGAAACGGGAAAAAAGGTCATCTGCATTTCCTTCCCTTCTAAACCGCTAAAAAAAATAGCTATTTGCGTGAGGAGCATTTGAAAGCAAGTCCTGCGGGGGGGGTGGGGAGGAGCGCTCACTTTCGTTGTTATTGTTGGTTTATTTACAGGAGCAGGACACGCGGGTTTACGTTCAATCCCTCACGAAGCCGGGCTCCGCGGCGCGCTGCCGGCCGCGGGGCGGTGCCGGGCCGGGCCCGCTCCCGCCCACAGCCGGCGGGCCGGGGTCAGGGCGCCGCGGCCTCGCCTCCCGCCCGCCCCCGCCATCTTAAACCGCTACGCGCCGGCGGCCGGCCCAGCCCGGCGGTGCCGCTGCCCGCGGAGATGGCGGGGACGAGCACGGAAGCTCGGACGTGGCTGCTGCGGCCGCCCACGGCCACCGAGCTGCTGCTGGTGGCCCTGTGCTGGCTCGGCTGCTACTGGCTGCTGCGGCGGTGGCCGCGGGCGCTGTCGGGGCTGCCGCCGGGCCCCGCGCCCTGGCCGCTGGTGGGCAACTTCGCCTTCGCCCTTCTGCCGCCTCCGCTGCTGCGCAGGTGGGCCATGGATGTGAAGGGCGACCGGATCTCCCCCGCCTTCTCGCCCCATGTCTTCCTCACCGGCCTGACCAAGATGTACGGCAGCATCTTCCGGCTCTTCGTGGGCAGCCGCCCATTCATCATCCTCAACACTTTCGGGGCGGTGCGGGAGGCGCTGGTGCAGAAGGCGGAGGTGTTCAGCGACCGGCCCTCCGTGCCCATCGTCCTCATGATCACCCACCACAAGGGTAAGTGCCCGGGGCACCCCGAGTCCTGCCCGGGGAGCTGCCGCACGCCCGGTGATGGCCAGGGGTGCTCGGGACCAGGGTGCTCAGGACCGAGGGCTGCTCTGCCGAAATTTATAAATAACTCCCACGAATTGTGGACTGAACTATTTGCTTGCTTTTTGCTCCTCGCGTGTGTCCCTCGCCCTGCTGCTGACAGAAAGGAGACAGAGAGAACCTCGCCCTGCCTTGAGGTGCAGCATCCCCGCGAAGCTGGCGGTGCAGCACGGAGCATCTCTGGGTGACTGAAGCGCCCGATGCCTTTGGCTCTGTGTGCTCTAAAGGGACTGAGGAGCTGCTGGGGTGGTTTACACTGGAGAAGGGGAGGCTCAAGGGGAGGGAGGCCTTATCTCTCTCTCCAACTGCCTGAAAAGAGCTTGTAGCCAGGGCGGGGTTGGTCTCCTGGGTAATAAGGGATAGGACAAGAGGAAATGGCTTCAAGTTGCACCAGGGGAAGTTTAAGTTGGGCATTAGGAGGAATTTCTCCACAGAAAGGGTGGTTTGACAGTGGAATGGACTGCACAGGGGGATGGTGGAATCACCGTCCCTGGAGCTGTTCATGGAAAGGCTGGGTGTGGCAGTCAGTGCCATGGTCCTGTTGACAAGGTGGTGTTCGGTCATGGGTTGGAATCAGTCTCAGAGGTGTTTTCCAACCTCGTTGTTTCTGTGACTGGCATTTGTGCAGGGATTTAAGGCACAGCTGGTCTGTCACCTGCGGGCTTTCTGATTTTGGCTGTGTGAGGAGAAGAAATTTCAAGTACTTGGGCAGTGGTACAAAACTGTTCACTCCCCCAGGTCTTACTAGGGGTGGCAGAGATTAGACTGCTTAGGAGTCCCATGGCTGCACAGTCCGTGCTGCCTATGTACAAGCTACTGTTGCTGAGATATTTGCAAATGTGTTATTCTGCTTGTCAGAACTTACTGAGCCTGTTTGGGTTTGGTTGTCTTTTTTTCTTAAGAGTCCAAAGGAGAGTTAATAGCTTTTGCAGGAAAAAGGCATGAGGGGTTTAAACAAATGCTGACAATACTGCAGGTAGAATTTCTTCATGTTTAGTTTTTAGGTCATTACTGATCTCAGTGTTTATGGAAATATACTTACCCTTTTTGAGTTTAGGAGGTGGACCCCAGAAGGCTTCTTAGTGTGCTAGCTTGTTGTGAATCTTCCCTATTTTTATTTTTTTCCAAGGACAGGGAAATCTGGTTTTTAAGTGCATGAAACATTTATCTCTTTTTCTTTTTTTTTTTTGTTCCTATACCAGAATTGCCCTAGTAAAGAGAGAAGAAAGTGAGTGAGCTAGATCATGTTTATTAAAATGCTATCAGGCACCATTGCTGAAATTAGTTTAAAGAATAAAATTAAAAAAAAAAAAATTAATTTTGTTGGTTTAATGATATTGTTCCAAGACAGATCTTACTGGCACGTTGTTATCATGCATGAGTATTTTTAGGTACAGTACTTCAGCAAGAACTGGAGGAGGAAAGGGGAAGAGGAGTTAGATAATTTTAGCAGTGCTGTAAAACCTCATGTTCAGGCTCATGGTAGATTTCTTTCTCCTTGAATGCTGTGAATTTCATATGTTTCTTGTTCTCTGTCAGATTCGTTTGAATATGGTGAAGCAAAGAGTAGCCAGGGCAGCTGGCAGCTTCACCAGTGGGTGCTCCAGGAGAGCTGGCCATGCCAGGAACCTGATGTCCATAGCCAGAGCATGCTGCAAGCAGCCCAGGGACTGTGCCTGTCTGTGTTGCACTGTGGCAGGGACATTGTGTTGCTCTGGCTTTGGTTTTATCTGTAGGGTCACCGTAGCTGTGCTCAGGCGTGAGGACTGCAGCATCAGGGCTGCCCAGTGGTCCATAGAACATCCCCAGCTATTCCATAGTGCTCATGTTAGCAGCATGCTGGATTGCCCCAGATGTAGGCGTATTGTCGAGTGAACCACAGGGCTGGTGTGTTCTGAGGGCACAAAGGGTCAATGTGGGAGTGGGGCCACTGCCCCCACAAGCTGGTTCTCCAAATGCCAGTGGAAGCTGCAGATGCTGTCCCTGTGCAGCCCTGGATTTAGTGGTGGCATGAGGAGACGACTGAGCCTCTGCAATGCTGTGTTTGTGTTAACAAGTGTTGCTTTTTTCATCTGTGGTTCGTGGGGGTGGCAGATGGGTTACAGCGCTCAAACTGGAGGCCTCTTAAGATGGGTTTGGGTGATAATTTCAGGAGTTTGTGGGTGAGGTGTTTCTGCAGGTCAGGACAGCAGCAGTTGTGTTAGTATGTACTAGGAAAGGAAACAGGGCAGGATGATGGGTAACTTCAGCTCTACCACTTACAATTTGGGTACTACAGCTCTGGGAGGTTTAGTGTCCATTTTGGGTTCCTTCATTTTATAAGTGAGCTATTATAGAGATATTTTCTTGTAAGCTACATTTGCTGGAATAGTTTTGTCTTTACCTTGAGCTGCCCTGCCAGGTATGGTATAGAAGAAAGAGGGGCTTATGTCAGCTGTGTGGTTCTGCTGCAAGTAAGATGCAAAGAAAATAATTGTGCCTGGGGGAGAGCAGGTAGAAGTATCAGAAATGGCAAATACTACATTTCAGCAACTTGATTAGCAACTAAGGGAGGCCTTCTTGGCTGGATAGAAAATGCCATAAGACCTTAAGGGAGAAGGTAGTAGTCAATTCTCAGTCTTAATTCATCATCAAATATGTTTGCAGAACGAGAGGTAGTAGATTGGAGAGAAACAAGATATTTCTGTGGTCTAATTTTAGTATTTTACTTTTTTGTATTCTATAGCTATGAGAGGTAGCAAAGACTGAATCTTCAGAGTATGTGGAGTCAGAGTGGTTGTCTGCCTTTATAGCCCTGCCCTGTGCATATCCACATGTGGACATCTGGCAACACAGAAGCTGAATGTTATTAAATGTCATGAGTGCTGTATTTGTCAACGTTCTCTGGATTGTAGCAGCACTAGAGCTAGCAGTAAAAAATGCAGGGGATGAAGAATAAGTAAGCCTTTGCCACTTGTGAGGGTTTGAATTTTTTTGTGTAAAAAGGGGGAATAAAACAAACTCTCTGGTTTTCTGAGTTTGTTGGTTGTATTGAAAGGGTTTCATTATCAGCTCATAAAAATTAGGCCTCTGTAGTGAGCATGAGGTCCTAGTTATTGTTGCTTCAGAATTTATTATTGTATGGCCTTCAGGTTTTTTTTTGTTTTGCTTTGCTTTAATTTCTTTACAAGAGAGGTTGTTTTTGTTGTTTGGGGTTTTTTTTAAGAGTAGAGACGTCTGTGCTCAGTAACTTCACTTTTTAGGGCAGGCAGATTTTCTTTGAAATCAGCAAAGGACTATTCCATTATTGTAGCTTGTTCAGGATGCAGTTGAGAGTTTGCTCTCTTCTCTTACCTCTGTTGTTTTGTATTTATGCTCTTCTTCTTCTTCCTTAATCTGTCTTCTATGTAATTCTTTCCCAATTTACAGATCAATTGTTAGTATTCTGCAGTAGTTTGGGGTTGGGGACATTAGAAAACACTGATGCTTTCTGCAGGACTGCTGGAGAGGCTCACTGTGTGTGGGGACATTTGTTGTTGGTGTTAGCTTTTCTGTGGGCCTAGGCAAGTCTCTTTTACATTCAAGACAATAGGTCTGGTTTGTTCTTGGCCAAATGCAGCCCCAAATACTCCTGTTTTTTCACTTAGCACTGGTGTCCTCAAGTAGGTTAACAGGAAACAGTTGAGAGAGGAAATCTGGAAAGTTTTTGGTTCTGTGTTTTGAGGGGCCAGGGAGTGGGCATTTGAATAGATTGCCTGAGGAATGTCTTCATGCAGAGAAGATGAAATTCAGCTGACTCTGAGCTTGTCCTGATTCTTCCTAATGTTCTTGTTTAGGATGTTTGAAGCTAGGTCATGTGTTTGTATTATTTTAGCATTAAGGGCTAGGAACATTAACTTGTAATAGAAATGTTGGCATGAGGAGACGACTGAGCCTCTGCAATGCTGTGTTTGTGTTAACAAGTGTTGCTTGTAAAATATAGAAAAGTAAAATATAGAAATATGATGCATCTTCTAGTACTTATGTACTACTTCTGTTTTCTTATGGTCATTTCTCCTTTTAAATTCAACTTTAAGGTTTACAGTTGACAGAGGAATTGATGTTGCTTTTACAAAGTAACTTTCTGTTTTCAGAAAAAAATAAAAATAAAAAGTGGTGTTGTTTTGCTAGAAGAACAAATCCAGAACCAGATCATGTGTGATGACTAAACTTTCTCAGGTTAACCATGGAGTACATTAGAAATTGCAGGTTGTGTATTTGTTACCCTATGGTGTCTTTGGTGTGGTCTTCTAATTCAACATAAGAGATGTTTCTGTTTGAAAGTGAGTAATAGGGATTTAATTTAAATGGTGTTTCATAATGACACAGTCATGCATAACAATTGCCTACAGGCATCAAAACTGTTGAGATGCATATCAAGCAGGATTTTGCCAAGTGTCTCTGAACCTGTTTTCACCTTCCCAGTTTTCTTGCAGTGTGAGTGTCCTGTATTTTTATTATAACTTAAAGATAAAGCTCTCTTGTAATAGACACACTTGCAAAAAGTGTTGAGAAGTTTGTATAACACGAAGGAGAAAAAACACAAATCAGTTTGTGTTTTAATGACTTCTGTTATACCTTGCTGAAGAAGTTCATATCTCAGGACATTGGGGAGAAAAGGCTATGTCTAACATATATCCCAGATTAACTGTTCCCTCTTCTCCATCTGTGTCTTGCAAAGTCTAGTGAAACTAGTGATGTAACTTGGATATTTGTTTCAGTGATGAGGAAAAGGAGAGACAGGATTTCCCAAAAGCTTAATAAAGAACCTTGTGATTTTCCTTTAGATCCTAGACAGGTGCTTGGAAGAGATTTCGTGTGTATGATTTCCTTCTCTTCTTGCTCTTGGGTTGCAGGCATGGCTAACTATTTCTAATTGAAAGTTGGCATTTTGCTTTCAGTCTCTCCGTTTTTCTTTCAGGTGTTATTTTTGCACCTTATGGCCCTGTCTGGAAGCAACAGAGGAAATTCTCTCTCTCAACACTGCGTCATTTTGGAGTAGGGAGACACAGCTTAGAGCCTAAAATCATCGAGGAGCTGAACTTTGTAAAGGAAGAAATGCTGAAGCATGGAAAGGATTCATTTAATCCCTTCCCAATCATTCGCAACGCAGTGTCCAATGTTATCTGTTCCATGGCCTTTGGCAAGCGCTTTAACTACGAGGATGATGAGTTCAAGACGATGCTGAAGAACATGGCCCGTGCCCTGGAGCTCAGCGTGAACAGCTACATGATCCTGGTCAACATCTGCCCGTGGCTCTACTACCTTCCCTTTGGGCCTTTCCGGGAGCTTCGGCAAACGGAGTTAGACATTACTGCTTTTCTGAAGAGAATAATTGCCCAGCACAGGGATACGCTGGATGCAGCAAATCCCAGGGACTTCATTGATATGTACTTCATCCACGCGGAGGAAGAGAAGAACAACAAGGAGAGCAGTTTTAATGATGATTACCTGTTTTTTATCATTGGTGATCTCTTCATCGCTGGCACAGATACTACTTCCAACACGTTGCTGTGGTGCCTGCTCTACATGTCTCTTTACCCTGAAGTACAAGGTATGATTACTTTTCTTCTAGGTGATTTATTCCTGACTGTAAAGCTCCAGATGGATGCTCAGAAACAGAAGCAAGCAGTGACAGTGAAGAAATCATTTGGAGAGCCAGTGGTTCATGTTGTATGTGTGATTTGAAAGGCTGGTATGTAATCAGACATCTTCTATCCTGCTGTTCTATGATGATTTCTGGGTTAGTGCTGTGTATTAAGTGCTAAATGGCTCTTTAATCTGTGAATTTCTTCTGGTTTGGTACAACTTTATCATTCCCATGCAATTCCAGGGAACTTTAGCACGTTTGAAAGACTTTGGCAGTTGTAACATTCCAGGCATGTAGTAGTGATACATGTATGAAGACCAAAGTGCTAAGGTCTGCTTTTATGGCTCCCCTGAGCAGGGAGGTTCTGTAGCAGAGTCTGGGGAAGTAAAACACTGCCTGCTGTAGAGCAGGATCACATCAGAGACAGCTTAAGCAAACTGGACTTGCACAAATGCACAGCACCAGCTGCCAGTGTTGCTAGAGGGCCTCTCCCCATCAGTCTGGAGTGCTCAGAGCAGTCAGGTGGGGGAGGATGAGGGATGGGGGGACACAAACAGAGGCAGAACAAATTGGCCCAGTGTTAGGGAAGGATGACCTTATGCTGTCTACAACTGTCTGATCAAAAGATGCTAAGAAAATGGAGGCAGTCTCCCCTGAGGTGTGCAGGGAAGGGAAGGGAAGCAGTGGAAACAGCCTACAACAAGAAAATTTTGATCAGATACCAGGAAAAGAAATTGCCCTGTCAACATAGCAAAGGAGTGATGCAGATTGCCCTGAGAGTTAACAGAATCTCTGGTTTTGGAATTTTTCAAAACTAAGTGGGTCATGACTGGTAGTAGTCTCACCTACACTGAGTTGGATCTGTTTGGAAAAATCTCTTCAAATAGGTCAAGATCATAGTTTATTGCACAAAGTCAAACAAACTGCAAAACTGGGCCCCAGTGCAGTAGATGGGAGAAAGTTCACTGGGGACAAATGTAAAGTAAACTTTTATTGCACAGGCTTATTCTTCTGTTTTAATGCTGCGTGTTATCACTGCTTGACTTGATATGCAGTTACATGGATTAGATGTATTCTAAATTACAGAAATGGAATCCAGAGGAGTTTTGTGTTTGTTTTTTTTTAACATTTTTTCCTTCTGCCTGGTACTGTATGTGTATGTGCTAGTCAATTTTCACTGTTCTGCTGATCTCTAACAGCTTTATTACCTCTCTCTGATTTCCCCTTACACTGTGGCTCTTGTCAAGCAATCTAAATATGCTCAGTAGTCCAGACTGTATCAGTTTTAGTATCCCATTCCTTATATCCTGATTGCCTTGGAGCTATGTATGGGCCCCCTTTTTTATTCTAGGTAATACATTTCTCTTAAATGTATTTCCTCCCTACAGAAAATACCTGAACTGTGTATCCTTTAGAAGTAGCAAAAGTTGCTTGCAGTCATGGAAGGGAAACTAAGAGCTATCAGAGGAAAAAAAAATATTTTTCTCTTTGGAAACAGTTTTGCTTTTTACACGGAAATAGAGAATGATGTGGATGGACAATATGGTGCTGAAGCCATGGGTAGTATTTGGTTTGTTCTGTTCCCTGACTTTGTTTTGGTCCTTGACTTCTGAAGATCATTGAGATTTTTAAATATATGAAAAGTTGTATAGCAGTTCAATTAACATGCTGTTGCAGAGGCTGCTGTTTGGCTGCTCTCTGTATAGTTCCTTGTATTTTTAGAAACGCTGAACAAATGAGTTGTTCAGGATAAAGCACTGGTGTGACATTTGGTTTGAGACAGTCTCTTTTTTTTAATATTGAAAAAAATTATTTATTTGTTTAGATTACTGTGAACATACATGCCTGAATATAGGGCTATGATGTGTTCCTGATAAAAGTAGCAAACCCCCACAACGAAAGTACTGGAGAGCCACTCTGTCAGCACATCTCTTGCTGTATTTTTTGTGGTTTTTAATGTTCCTCATGCATGGGCTTTTCTTCTGGGGCAAACCCAGTAGGTGGCAGCAGTGGCTCCTCAGACAGTTCAGGCAGCACTTGGGGATGCTGCTGGGGAAACTGGGACAGTTTTTTTGCATTGAGCTTTTATTTAATCTTGTATCACTGCTAAAGAGAGAAAAGAGAAAAAACTCAGAGTAGCAGCAGCCTGGTTGGAAAAGACAAGTGGAACAACCACAAAGTATGCAGGATATAAAGGGTAAAACATAAAAACTGTCTTTTATTATTATTGAATAAAGGTTAGTTTTGAGGTCTCCTTTTTCAAGATTGTCTTTTGTGGTGTAGCCAGATTGCAAGTTACCTGCAAGAAGAGGCGCATCATCTGTGTGTATATAGGTGAAGCAAATCTTGGAAACTTCTATGAAGAGAATTACTTGTGTGCTGAGCCTTCAGTGAAATGAAAGGGACAAGGAAATAATTTGATATTTTTTTCTCCCCATGAATGAGGAAGTTGATAAGCTCATGAATTTTTTTGACTTTGCAGGAGGGCTGCAAAGGGAAAGGAGCATCTTCTGCTGCTTTTGGGGGAAATGGGGAATAGCTGAGTTTAGGTTCTGTGAATAGAAAGTAGGAAAAAGCAAGAATGAGTTAAATGGCTTCAACGTTTGCAGTAACAGCACCAGAATTCCTGCTCCAGAATGAAGTATCTAAATCAACTGCATGAAAAACTTTCCCATCTCTTCACACTCAGGCACACACTGCATGCAGTTCTCTCACTGTTCAAGTTTTTATTTGCAGAGCAGAATCTTGGTGTTTTCGTCATTCAAACGACTGTATAATTAAACTCTTAAAGTAAGGTTATGTATATGTTTGGAGTAGCAGCAGGACTTTTCCAATACTGAAGTGCTAGCAAGGTCTGTCAGCTCAGTAGCTTTCTTGAGTGTTGTCAAGATTGTGCTTGGTTGTTTTCTTCTTACCTGAGTTTGTTCCTAAGGCTAATGTTGGCATAGGTGTTTCAGCTAGGAATCACATCTTGAAGTAAGTCTTGAGAAATCTATGTAAACAGTGAAGCAAGTACAGTCAGATGAAATTGAGATGATGTCTTCTCACATATTATGTCTTTATTTTTCTTGCTCCTTTGAATAGAGAAAGTACATGCAGAAATTGAAGCAGTTCTAGGACGTGACAAAGTTCCCTCTCTTGCTCACAAGGCTCAAATGCCCTTCACAGAGGCAACCATTATGGAAGTGCAGAGGATGACTGCAGTTGTTCCCCTTTCTATTCCTCGAATGGCCTCAGAAACTGCTGGTAAGCATTTCTAGAGACTCATTACTATAGCGTTTCCTCTGGAGCTGAAAATCTGATGGGACATCTAGTGATAATTTACAAAGACCTCATTTACGTATTAGAGCCATAAAACAAATATGTAAAATGTCCTTTATAGGAAGCAGGAGGCCCTGACAGAGTTCTCTATGTAAGCAGCATGTCTGACCTGACATCCAGCAGTTTTTCTAATCTCAAGTGATGTCTTCTCTGGGGATCAGCTTGTACTGACTAATGTGCTAAGTCATAGCTGGCAGCTGAGACTGCAGCTTTGTACCTGATAGAGCAGAGCTGTTCTTGGTGTTCTGACACAGAGGTCTGAAAGCATCAGTTTAGAGTAATTGGTTTGCTAAAGTCTTATACCACTGACCTCCACACATACAGGAAATATTAAGAAATGAGTCTTCCAACTCATCTGTGTGTTTTCATAGACATAGCTGAGACTGGCCAAAGTTGGTGTGAGAGAGCAATACTCAGCTTTAAAACCTATTACTGAATTGATCTGCTTTCCCAAATGTTTTGATTTGCAGGAGAGTGAGATGCAGCAAGCTGAAATGAGACTAGTCATTTCAAAACCCTTGTGTCACAACAGTTCAAAGTCCATCCTTTGACTGTGGTGGGGCTCTGTGACAGCACAGGAGCAGGAGGAAAGTGGGTCACAATATTGGGGTGCTGCAGAGTGCATTTCTGACAACTGCTGCTTCCTTCTCCCTGCAGAAGCTGTTGGTGTATCTTGGTGTCTTTCCAGCTGCTCAGGCTTGTGTGATTATGACTCAGGCAGGGTAGCAGAGCTCACTTTTGCCTTCAGCTTTTGCCACATTTGCAGCCCACAGCTAGGGATCAAAATAATTTTTTGTGACATACTCTTGTTGTCTTTTTACTGCTATTTTTCCCCATGTTTCCTTCTAGTAACTTGTCACATCTGTGTCTCTGCTTTTGTTTAAAGTGCTCCAGGGATATACTATTCCTAAGGGTAGTGTGATTGTGCCCAACCTGTGGTCAGTACACAGAGATCCGAACATTTGGGAGAAGCCAGATGAATTTCAACCATCAAGATTTCTGGATGAAAATGGCCAGCTAATAAAGAAAGAGTCATTCATTCCTTTTGGAATGGGTAAGATAATCCACATGGAGTCATTAGCTTGGTGGGTGGCTGGTGATGTTTCAAGTGTAGGGCCTTGGGGATGAGAGATGTAGAAGTTGCACATAGGACCAATTATAGAAGTAGATTTATTATCACAGTTGGTGGCTTGCAGAATGGTTTGGGTTCCTAAACAGCCAGTCACCAGACAGAAATTATGAATTGTCGTTTGATACTACTTTTGCTGTGGATGTAAATATTGTTAATATGAACGAGTACAGCTGAGCAAGGCTTAGAGTCATATACAGGAGACCAGAGCTTCAGAGGTCATAGCTAAATAGTAGTTTGTGCATTTTCTGGACTATGGTAGCACAGGAACACAGGAATTACATGTGTGTTAACAAATAGGTCAACTGTATAAAGCCAGTAATACCTCTCTTCTAACTGTTCTTTAGGTAAACGTGTGTGCATGGGAGAGCAGTTGGCAAAAATGGAGCTGTTCTTGATTTTTTCAAGTCTTATGCAAAGTTTTACCTTTATGTACCCTGAAAATGCTGCAAAACCATCTATGGAGGGAAGGTTTGGTCTGACTTTAGCTCCATGTCCATTCAACATAATAGCTTTGAAGAAATGATACAGTATCAAAAAGATTAAGCAAAGAAGTACTGCACTTTTAAAATACTGCTTTTTTTTTTTTTTTTTTTTTTTTTTTTTTTTTTTTTTTTTTACTATTTCCAGTTTATTTTATTACTTTCTTTCCAGAAAATAACCCCAGCTGTGTAGGCTTTCCTAGTCAGTGAGAATGATCCATTTAGCCTTCTGGAAAAAAGATTTTTTTTGTCATCTGTTGCATTCCACAAATGAACTGACAGCATAGTTTTTAATTTGATATTAAAACTTGGTGGGCTTAACCTCTGTCTGTTATGGTCAGTTTGTCAAATGTTGATTATGGGAGAATGGTCCAAAACGTTTGTCACTGTTCTGGCAAATAGTAATTGTAAAAAATTGTGAAAGCCACACATAAACATTTCATTTACCAAAGGAGTGAAGCACATTGTGTAATATTAAAAGTATTAATTAATTGATTGTTAGCATTTTCTGTGAAAACCAAGATTATAACTGGGCTTAAATAATTTTTTGCAACTAACTTATAGGTGTAGTCGATTGGATCCAAATATCCTTGAGTTTCAGGGCTCGCTATAAAAAAGCAGGTACCAAGCTGGAAAAGCCAGGATTTGAGGCCAAATCCTTGAATATGCCATATTCTTAGCATGAAATGAGTGTGCAGCATCGGGATGCAGATGTTTTCTCTCAGAATACAAACAAGAGCAGACTTCTCTAACAAGAATCAGCAGAACTCTGTTCTCTCTGGTGCCAAACATATTCAAGACGTCTGTGCTGCCTCTTGGCATTCGTTGTTTACCTCATGGCAGCAGTGGCTGCAGGCTGGACGGGACCAGCAGCTGCTCACTGGGAAAACACAAACACTACAGTCTACAGTGTGTAGTTCTGAAGTGGAGGCTGGTGCTCAGGTTTTTCATCCACAGGCAGTGTGGACAGTACTGCCACAACCTCTGGCTTTGGGAACTGGAGTCTTCAAATACGGCATCACTGCAGCAGTACAGGTACTGCTTATACATTTACCAGGAACAGGAGGAAGCTGACAAACTCGAGGTTTGGATATAATGGCTCTCTCCTTATTATCTCCATACAGACTAAAAGGATCTGTAGTTCATACAGCATTAGTGTATCAGTACTTTTTTCACACGAAGAATCTTAGTGCAATTAACCACTGTCAAACCAGCTGCCAAGGAAACCTCATTAATTGTTTCAGAACAGGGCACTCAGTCTTGCTTTGTGTTTCAAACATGGAAAGTGATCTTTTGGGGGACTGTATAACAACTAACCTTTAAATGGTTGTTCTTAATCATTCTTCAATCTCTTAACACTCCTTTTGATTTATCAGAATTTCATATCACATTAATTGAGTTTTTATATACTCTTCTAAATATTTTTTTCCCCCTCACTGAAGATCTAGAGAATACCCGGAGCCCTCCTAATGTCAAGTTTACAAGACTGGAATGTGAATTTGAATGTAATTTAGAATTCGGTATTTTATAGCTGAAACAAAACTTAAATTGTAAAAGAAGAGACAACTTTTCAGCTTTAAATTAATGTATGGTTTTGTCACTTTTAACCTTGAAGTTTTATAAGCCAGGTAGTGCCTAACAAAGACTGTAAGATAGTTATTATGCATTCAAATTAAGGTTTTCTGTTACCTGTTTTGAATAACAGAGTGCCTTAATTTTTGAATTATGTATTTGGTTGGTCAGGTATCCCACTGTTTGTGTGAGAACTTTCAATTCTTTTCAATTTAATTAGGTTAACTTTGGACTGTATAGGCTTGTGGGTCTGGTTTTTTGGTATGAAGTTTTTGAAAACTTAGTACAATAAAAAGTTGATTTTGGTACCAATGCCAGTGAACTTGCTCTAAAACCAGATAGTACTGGAGAATTAAGCACTTTATTTAATTTAATTTTGTATTTTCCAATGAATAAATAGATTCTGTAGAGTTGGGATTTTTGTCTGGAAATCCTAAAATTATGCTTAATTGAGAAGCTAAAATTAAATGCTGATAATATTTATCTTTCTGTTGAAATGCCTTTTTAAACAACATAATGATGGTGTGCAACTGATCACTTGTACAAAATACCTGTCCTTTTCATCAATGAGGACACATTTGAAAAGCACTTTAGTATTTTTTTACAGATTCCAAAGAAGATGCAATTCACATAATCCCCTGGTATGTGAAACTGTACATATTTGTGCTTGTTTTGCCTGCTGAGTTTAGTTTAAAATGTCACCTTTGAAAACTGTCCTTTGAGAATTAGCCTTCTACAAATACTACTTTGAGAATGTGTTTTTTGGTGATACCTGTAATCAAATGCTGCAATGTGTGACAGGCTAAAACTACTGGAAGTTCCAACCACGTCAAGGTGTGCTAGAATACAGGATTCTGTTGGAAATGACAATAAAGACCTGTCTTTCATACCTTCCAGGTGCATTGAAATTTTCATAGGATACCATAAAAGTAACTAAACAATAGCATAAAAGCAGCAAAATCTGTGGTTTTCAAGGTGTGTTGCCATCTTTGGCAAACTGTAAAGAGTGGTAGCAAAGTTGGTTTGTTTTTGTAAATGTATCCTCCCCTTCTCCTTTTTTTAGCAGAGGAAGCATCTCAAATGCCTTGTTGAAAAATGTATGCTCAGATAAGTGGATGACTGTTTCTGAATGCTGCAAATATCTTTATTTCTAAAATTACTTTGCTTCAATGTATTTTTATTTTGAATAAAGTAATTCCCAAGTAAGTGTTTCACAGCTTTGCAAAGTCATTTCAATGAGTTCCACTTACTGACTAAACTTGTGGTGTTTGGCTTCTTGCATCTTGCAGAAAAAGCTTCTGAGTGAGAAAATGTTAAAAATGCTTTGGATGAGGAGTGAAGGAGGTGGGGAAACAAAGTGAAATTGGGAAAATAACATTGCCAGGCATGTGAAGATCAAATGATAGAGGTTTTTTTAAAAACAGTTGCCCAGAATAGAAGAAGAGGGAAGGGTGGGAGATGAGGAAGATAAAAGAGCAAATGAATTGTCAGCAGGAGGTGTGCAGTCTGCAGGAAAAAAAGCCTGGGCAGAAGTTGAGGTGTAGTTTTTTTCGACTCCTGGCATCAAGGAGACAGAGGGCAGAGAGGGAAAGGGGTGCCAAGGGGGAGTCTGGGGGAGAGGGCAAAGAGCCTCCGAGGGGAATGTGGGAGATCCTTCCCTATGGAAGAGCAGGGCTGAGCAGGAGCCAACCGAAGTGTTTGTGGGGAGGGGTGGGTAACAGCGCTGGTGTTAACCAGGAGCTGGCACTTAGCAACAAGAGCTGTAGGCGGAAATCTTGTGTCTTATGCCCTGGAGTTACATTGCAGGTCACTTGGCATACTGCTATTTTTTGTTGGTTTATTTGGTTTTTAGGGGAAATTCATTAATTACCACTCAGCTGTCATTTGTATACACAAAGATCATTAAAGGGTGAGTCTTTGGATAAAACTCTTTCCACAGCCACTTCCTACTCCTGCCTAATCCAGGTGAATTTTTTTGCAGTAAGTTTGTGGTACAAAGTGCAGAGATATGAGAATACAACACTTTATTTGAATAAAACAAGCTGCTTAATGTTTACCCTGGTGCTGACTCAAGTAGTATTTGCAGTGTTGTCAGCTGCTGCTGAAGTGCAGGTCTTTCTGGTGATAAATTAATTAGATGGAAATCAGGGCAGTCTGCATCTGATATTATTCAGCTGTTAGTGTTTATAATGGAAGAATTTTTTTCTTTTTCTTTTTTTTTTAAATTTTAGTTGTTTATTATGTATCTTGTGCTAGCCTGGAAATAACATCCCCTTCTAGTCAGGAAGCTTTTGTTGTGGAGAGAGAGCTTCTAATGATGTGAATAGGAAGAAGGTTGAGGTGCTGGAGGGTGTCCAGAGAAGGGTCTGGAGCACAGGTCCTGTCAGGAGCGGCTGAGGGCTCTGGCACTGTTTAGCCCGGAGGAAAGTGGGCTCAGGACAGATCTTACCGCTCTCTACAACTCCCTGACAGGAGGGTGTAGCCAGGTGGGGGTAGATCTCTTCTCCCACACAACCAATGATGGGATAGGAGGGCACAGCCTTGAGCTGTACCGGCAGAGGTTTAGGTGGAACCCCGTGTTCACAGGGAGGGTGGTTTGGCACTGGAATGGGCTGCCCAGGGAGGTGGTGGAGTCACCGTCCCTGGAGGTGTTTGATGAAAGACTGGATGTGTCACTTGGTGCCATGGCCCAGTTGACATGGTGGTGTTTGGTCATGGCTTGGACTCGATGGTCTCGGAGGTCTTTCCAGCCTCATTGATTCCACGAGCACGGGCAGCGGGAAGGTGAGCGCTGAGGGCGACGCGGTGACCTCTGAGGCAAAGGGCGGGCATCAGCGCAGCCTCGGCCGCCGGCCCCGCGCCAGCCGGGCGTTCCGGCCATGCTGACCTTGCCCTTGCTGCTTGGCTCTTAAGGAATCAGAGCTAGCGAAGGTGAAAGACCCAACGCGCCTCCCCCACTGCGGGCAGCAGGGATCGGGCAGCCGGAACCTGCCGCCTTCCCCCGGGGCGGAGCGCGGCCCTCGCCCCGCCTGTCCCGGCCGCGCCGCTCGCTCCGCGCCTTCGCCATGGCCTTCGCCACCCGCCACTTCGTGCGCGCCGCCTCCTCCGACGCCGCCACGGCGGCCGCCAAGAAGCTGCTCATCAAGCATGTCACGATCATCGGCGGCGGCCTCATGGGCGCCGGTATCGCCCAGGTGAGTGCGGTGCGGCGGCCGGGCCGCGGGGCGGAGGCGCCATGGCGGCCGGGGCCGGGGCGAGCCCTGCGGCCCTTCCCGGGCTGCTGCTCCCGCGGCCCGCGCTCTTCGCTCGGAGCTGAGCCCGGCCATGGTGCTGCACTCCGCGCTGTCCCCGGGCGGGAAGGGCGAGCTCTAGGGAGAGCGAGCGGTCTGCTGGCAGACCAGCATTAATAAAACCCACAGCTGTGCGTAACCACCCTCCTGGCGCTTCTCGGAGTGTGTTACACTCCGTGGCCAAACTCCTTTGCGCTTGCTTTTGCAGGCTGCGTTTGTGTGGGAAGCAGTGGCTGCGCTGGCGCTCGGCCGTGCCGGGACGCGCCCCTGCACACTGCCGCGGGTTTGTGTTCTGCTGCTGCCGAGGCGGGGTGCAGAGTATTGCTGCTCCGCTCCTCTCTGCTTGCTCAACTCTCACACTTCTGCTGCTGATCCGCCCACCTTCAGGTCAGACCGCTTGGCGAGAAGAACCAAGGCTGATGACTTAAATTGTTTAAGGTGGTTCTTAAGACAGCGCGTGGACTAATTGTAAACAGATGGTGGGTCTGTGGAAAATGTTGGCTGGAAAGAAGATTCTTCTAACTTGGCAAGGGAGCATATCTAGTGATATTTTATACATTTTGCAGCAGCTGAAATCAGCATTTAGCTGTCAGTCATCTTCAGAATTATGAAGTAGTTAATATTTAAATAGCACTTATTTTCCCAGAGTTTATTCTCAGGCCTTTGGCTTTTAAATTCACCTTTAACTTGATAGCTTTAGGACATTAAATTGGAGTGTCCTTTCAGTGATTGAAAATTTTGGCACTTAGTTAATTCAGAGAAAGAACCTGTTGCCCAGGATACCAGGGTAGTTCACAGACTTCACAAAGAATAAGGGGGATAGGCAAACATCCAAGCGGAAACTGACAGTGAGGCTGGAGCTCATGAATAGCAGTTCTCCATTTCAATTAATTAATAGGTTTGCTTCTCAGAACTTGAGACTTTTTACATTCCTGGAAAATCTCTTGCAGATGGAATACAGAGGCAATTTATTTTTTTTTTGCTAAGAAAATCCTTGTTTCTTCTCTTTTCTGATAAAAACATGCCTCTATTGTAATATTTGAGATTTCCACTGGAGAACCATCAAAGAACAACTTAGAAAAAAGTTGTTCTTGTGTTTGAGGAAGATGCAGACTATGCAAAGCTTATAATTTTCCAGGTGAGTGCACTGATCTTGTTCTGGTGGACTGCACATTTTCAGAGAGCAGCTTGTTAAGAGAAACATGTCTGGTATTTGACAGTAACAGGGGTTGCAGACCTCTACCACTGTTAAGGACCCACGATTGTTTTGCTGACCATCTGCCTCCAATATATCAATCCAAACTTATCTCAAAGCAGAGGTCATTATAACACATTAGACACGTGGTGTCTCCCCTGTACCCTGTTAACAAAGCTGGTTTTCATCCCTTTTTGAGCACTTAAGAAATTGTGTCTGGCGTTTCTTTATTTGCTGGGTTAGTGAGGCAAATTGGATGAGGATATCATAATGCTTTCTTCATGAGATAGCTGTACTTTCCGTTTCAGCAAGTTGTGTTGGAGTAGGTCTTGTGGGTGCATGAGTCTTTAGTCGTCACATGTAAGGTTATATGCAAGGTAAAAGATTGCAGAAGGGAAGCTCTGAAGTTGAGTCTCTTTAAAACCATCAGTGGAACTGTGTTTTGATATCTGTTTTACACAGTTACTAAACCACAACTCTGTTAGTTCAGGGATTCTGGAAGTGAAGATAGGTTATTGCTAACTAACAAGAGGAACATACATAAAGTGAAGTAACAGGTAATGAGCAGCTGATCTTTAATGTGCTGATGCAGTGTGAGGCAGTGACGTTAAGTGTTTGAAATTAATTTAAATACCAACCAAAAAGGCAATCCAGTAGTGCTGTGCCAGTGTTTGCACTGTGTAGCCAAGTGCAGAGTAAGGAGACTTTGCAGCCATTCATGTCTCTGTGGAATCCTGGGGTGACAAATGTCCACTGCTGCTCCCAGCTTCACTGTCACCTTCCTGTTGCAAGGACATGCTCATGGCCTGACAGCAGAGCTGTGTTCTGATGACACAGGGTTGGCCATCCCTTGTGCCACCTGCTCACCCTGCCAGTGTTCCTGTTTTGGTCTCCACAGCCCTTTTTCCTTACAAGATCCAAGGCTCTCAGCTAAAACACTTCCTTTTGAACAGCTGTTTATTCTGTAGCCACAGCCACAGAATTCAGATGCCTTCAGACAAAAGATTCTCCAGACAGTGTAAGGGAGAGATTTCTTTTTCCTTTTCCCTCAAGTTTTTTGAGACCTTTATCCCTTTAGCATCACCCCAGCTGTATACAGGCTTTTATGATTTTTCTAGTCAAGTGCATTTAGTTCAATGTATTTTAGCTCTCTTTTGCCTAAATGCCTGGCATATTGTCTGTCAACACAAATCAGTATGGTTGGTTGTTTTGTGACATTGATGTTGAATTTTTATTTTTTTTATCTTCCAGGTTGCAGCAGCCAGTGGTCACACTGTGGTGTTAGTTGACCAGTCAGATGAAATCCTTAAAAAGTCTACAAAAGGAATTGAAGAGAGTTTGAAGAGAGTGATAAAGAAGAAGTTTGCAGATAAGCCTGAGGTTGACACCTCCTTCTTTATTCCTCTAGGAAAACTCGGAAGAATAAAACCTGACATATTGAAATTATGGTATTGCAGTTATGCATTATAGAGCATGTTATGATACTTGCTTAAAAAGAAACTTTTTTTCCCAGTGTGCTCAAGAACCTGGACTTTCAGTTTGTTTTTTATTTTTAATTTAGGGAGGTTGAAAGATGTGTTACTTCATTTTCTTTCCTTAATGAACTTCAGCTTTAAGCTAAAGATTTAAACCAACTTAGCAATCTTTAAGAACAGATGCTAAGTGTGAAATGGAATAAAATTATTCATCACAACTTAAAAGCAAGCAGTCTTTGAATGCTTACCTGGGAATGCACCCGTTTTGTCCAAAAGCAAATAGTAACAAAATTGTCTTAATACCTGAGTAAGGAGTGTTTTTTTCTTTTTTCTCCTCCTAACCCTTGGGCACAGGATTATTGCAAATGAAATGAGCGTGCAAGTGACCGTGTTAGATGTTTAGCTTAGCAGTTCCATTGCTGAGTGAATCTTGCATACAGCCAGCCACCGTGGTGCAGTTGATGAGTCCAGCTTTGTATCCTAAGGGTTACTGTTGCTGTGCTTGTTTCTCTAAATTCCACAGCAGATTAATTTCTTCTTTTGATACATACTAACATATACAATGTATACTGGTATTGATGACTGCCAGAAAATGATGCAGCAGAGCAAGGAAATAAAAAGGGCCTGTTTGCAGGGGTATGGAAGTGCCAGGATAAGTAGAGCACACATATATAATTATGGAGAGCCTTTTAATAAAAAGAAAACTGTCCACATAATACTTGCACTTTTTGTATGACTATATTCTACCATATAGGTTTGGTTTTTTTTGTTTGTATTGTGTCTCCATTTACCCTTGGCTAAAAGTCTTGTGTTTCTGTTTGATTTCTGCCCTCACAAACTATGTCAACAGATTTACTAGTGAGGAAACATTTTTCCCCACTTTTTTACTGAAACTATAGCTACTGATTGACCGACCAGGTGATCACCCAGACTCTTCTGCTGAAGGTTGGACTGCAGCAAATGGTCTTCCTAAAAGATTGATTTTAAAGGTCTTCTCTTTACTTCAGAACAGATTTGATTGGCTAGGAAAATTTTGTCAGTGGAAAGCATTGTACCTCTACATACTTAAAACTTTTTTATTGATTTGGAAATGTGGCAGCCTGCCTGCATTTTGGGGGGCTCAAAACTACCAGAGAACATAAGGGGATATTCATATAAAAGTAAATTAAATCACTGTAAATAGACATTACAGCTGCTTGAAAATGTTTCAGGATGGTGCTGAGTTCATTAAGAAGACCTTGAAGAACCTCACAACAAGCACAGATGCAGCATCAGTGGTCCACAGCACGGATTTGGTGATAGAAGCCATTGTGGAGAATCTGGAAGTTAAAAATAACCTCTTCAAGACGCTGGATAAGTTTGCTCCAGAGTATGTATATTTTTCCTGTTACGTTTTGAAACTTAGACTATTTTCTGTTTTTACACTCACAGTTAGTTCTCTGTTTTCTTTGCTGCTTTATTTAAGAATGAGTTTTGCTGTCTTAGACTAGCTCCAGACTATCATGTTGGTGTGGAATAGTTGTTATGCCAGGTGCATATGTTATAAACATTCTCAGGTGTGTTGCATTGCTTCATTTGCTTGTTGCACTGCTTCATTTGTTGTTCCAGGTGTGTTTAGTCATTAAGATTGCCTATCTACTTGGCAATTTCAAATCTTAATCCAACTACAAATGCAGAACAGTAGAATTGACATGTTCCAGTGGACAGGGGTTGCTGTTAATGTTGTGTTCCCATACTTAAATAGGGAATTGGAATGATAAAGTGTTTGTTTCCAGCACACCTGTCATAAACAAGTTTTAAGAAGTCTCAGTCAGCTCAGTAATGTCTTAAGTGAACTAACTTTGCTTTGTCAGAGTTAGGAAACAGCCATTGCTGGTTATTGTGTGTGATGTAAAAGGGTAAATAGGATTTTAGTAAGTACTCATTCAGTTATATAAAGTCCCTGGAAATGTCTTTGAACTATATTTGATAACTGCTGGAAGCTACTGTTGAATTGTATCCAAACACAGAAATGCTGTTAATGTGAGCTTGCAGTCTCAGAAATTTGAGCCTTGTAATTGATGAGTCAGGATCACAAGACCTTGACTGCTTGTTGAGATTTTAACTAGTGCAGGTAAATTTGGGGATATTGACTAAGAGGGATTCTAGACTGTCAAGTGGGCAAGCTGTGCCTTGAATATCATGTGAAGGGAGAAAAGATGTTATCATTAGTTGACTTCAGCCTGGGGAGATTTTCAGGCTTTCTCCTCCTGTCAGTAATTAAAATTACCTGGTAATTTTGAAAATGGTAAATGATCACAAGCAGCCACATACTGAGCACAGGGTAACTTGCCATTGTCCTGACACAGAAAAGTAAGTAGATGCCTTCGACATTTATGAGAGTACTTTGTTATGGTTGGTTTGTGCCTATTTTGTGCAAACAGATCATTGGTTGACTGAGTATTTACTGATCAAATTGGAGTGTACTAAATGTGCTGTCTAAAACCAGTCAGCAAGGAAATCTGGGTATGGGAACTTGGAACCTCACTTAAAAATGTGTATGTTTGGAACACCTGAGGCTATTTTTTGCAAGACTGAGCTGTTTGTTAGCATAGCTGCTGTAAAACATCTAATTTTACATCACAGTGTTAAAAGATACTGGGGGTTGTTCAAATATGCTCCTGCCCATTGCAAAAGGGATGATTTTGCAGAGTTGGGAAAAAATGGCTAAGACAAGAAGCCTTTCCTTTTAAGAGGAAATTTGGAGGCTATTATAAGCATACAGATATCTTATATGTAGGATAAAAGAAGGTTAAGTGGATGGCAAAAAAATGGGTTGCAGTGTAGAAAGTCTAGATGAAAAACTGGTAAAATAGTGACACTTAGTAGGCAAGTGTTTAAAATATTAGCTTTGGATACAAAAGGTAATTTGTAACTGTGAGAGAGAATAGATTGCAGATGGTGGAACCTGTAGTGATTGTTTTGCCTTGTGTTAGAAGGAAGCATGAGCTTTACTCATCCCACACGGCACTGTGCTGCAATGGAAAGCTCTCCCTGTCAGTGCAAGCATTCTACAGCCTTTTCTAAGGCTGAATAGTTCAAAATTTATAAACCTATTGTATGGACTAACTGTTGTGTCAGCTCAGTAGGGGCTGTAGACTTGTGGTTAATTGGTAACAAAGACAGGATTTGTTTAAAGACAGCTCTGAGTCTCAGGAGGAGCTTTGCTTCTGAGGGGCTCTGAGCATTGAAGGCCCTCTGAAGTGTGGGTTACAGGGAGAGATCAGGAAAGATCAGGATGCTGTGGAGGGATGACTTGGCTTCTTTCAAATCCCAGGACTTCCCAGAGGGGTGGATGATAGCAGGTTGAAATGTGAGGGGCTATGTATTGCAGTTGTTCTGACAAGATGATGAATTGTGTCTGTGAAATACAAGGTGTGTGAAACCCTGCATTTTTCTTCTTTTGTGATGTATTTCATGTCTCGTGCATTTTCTCAGCTGCAACATGTACTTGTCCATCTCCCATTTTTGCACTATGGAGACATCTGCAAGGAAAATAATTAAGTCTGGGAACTGAAAAAACCTAAAATATTACAATAGCACAGTTAACTTAATTCCTTTTCCATTTCTTATAAAGTAACTGTAATTCCTCTGAAAATGGATCTAAACATGTAGGGGATGGGAAAGCTATTATTTTATTCAGAGAAGTTGTATTTGTGAGTGGGGAGTGAATTTCTCCTAAGTGTTCAAATCAAATAAAATAAGCCAGGAGCATTTGGCAACTCCAGAGCACCTTGGAAACTCAAGGTATTCCTCATCTGGATAACTGTGCAGGTGAAACACTGAATGCTGTTTCTTGGGTGACATTAGTCTGAGAACATACTGGCTTATGTTCTTGGAACTTTGCAAAAATTTATGTTCTTGAAACTTTGCAAAATGTAGAAGGCAGAATTGTATGTTCTGTTCCTCTCAGTGTTAAACTCACCATATTTGATATTTATTACTGTGTTACATGGTTATCATCTTTGGAGCAGAGTAAAGCATTGCTACCCACTCCTCATTCTGTTTTCCTTTTCTTGAATGGGGTTAGTCTGGCATTTCAGTTTTGAAAAAGGTCAGGCTAGGATTTTTGTAGACACTGCAGCACTTTTCCAAAGAGGGTTGTAATGAATATGACAAAAGAACTTTTGCGTATCCACTTTAAGCACTTTTCTGTACTTGATTTCTGTTTTTTTCTGGGATGTAGGAAATGCCCATCAATATTCCTCGGTCTAGGATTTGCCTTTGGGTGTGGAAACTCAGCTCGGACCTGGCCAGTGTTTTTCAGCTGTTCACTGTGTTAGAATGGATGTGTTATAAAACTGTTAATAAAAGAAGTATTGTTCAGTGTTTGCTGTGTAAGGCAGCTGGACTTAAGAGTGGGATTTATTGGAAATATTTACTAACCTTTCTCTTGCGTTGGGCTCTGCTTTCGACATCTTTCCCTGAGCCACTAGATGGCACCAAGAAAAAGCACTCTGCTGCTGGGAAAGCCATTTCTATGGCTTCACTAGTTCTGGCTTCCCAAAGCCTCCCGACTCTGCTGTCATCTGAAGCATGGATTCTGTCATTCTAAGTCACAGAGGCATGAAAATTTTATTCTAAACTCAACTGAAATCAAGTGGTTGGTCAGAGAATAAAGTGTAACTAAAATGCACTTGTTCACGTGCAAATCCAATGATTTTATTTTTTCCAAGACTTTCTATTGTGTGAGGCTATGGAAGAGGTACTGAGGTAAAATCTCTTAAGTGAACTCAGATATAAACCTAGCAATGACTGTATTTCACAAATCAATGTGTTTCTTTTTATATGAATATTTTAATTTTTATATACAATGGCAAATTTTCGGTGAGACTTTTGTATGCACTGACCTTGCAAGGTCAAACCTGTGAAATGCAAAATGCTCCTTTTAGTACCTCACCTCAGAACAGCATAAGGCCACTTTATGATGGGGAGATAGTAAAAGAATATTTGTAAGAAGAGTAAACAAGAATTTTCAGGAATTTTTCTCTCCTTCACTATAACAAAAAAGAAAACATAATAAATATGGAAAGCAAAGTGAGTGTTTTTGTCTTGAAATGTTTTCTTTAATGCCACTGTAAAATTTTGCCATGACTTGGACATAACTTTTCTGAAAGCTCTGTTGTAAAGCTCTGTTACATGTTAGTACAATGTAAGCAAAATATCAACATAGATAAACATTTGCTGGGTCCAGCATGATAACTTTTTGAAGGGGTAGTTGGATGCAGCCCAAAATGAAAGGTAGGTTTTAATCTCTAATTTAGTTTCTGATTTGAAGAAAAAGCCATTTCTCTAAGGTTATGGTGTGATAGCAGAGCTGTTGAGGTTTTGAGATATTTCTGGAAAGAAAAAACAAAGAAACTCAAACCATTATAACTTGCAGTTAGTAAATGCGGTTTATGTCTGGAGAAGGACTTCATGTATGTTAAAATTCTTGGCATTTTGTAGATCTTTTGCAGTGTCCTATGCATGGCAGGTCTTAAATTTTCTTGGTTTTTTTTCCCTATTAAATCTTTCCTCTGGTGGTAGGTTTGCTCATCATGTCTATCATTGATAATTTTAAAACAAAGTAGATTGCAAATTTTCTGTAGGACTCCAAAGTGCATTTTTGACATGGCATATGGTTGGGTTTCAATAAATGTGTAAATGTGTTTAACAACAAACAAAAATACCCTTAGGTATTTTTAGGTACCCTTCAGCAATCCTGGATTGCTGAAGGAATTACCTAGAATGGATTTGGGGAGTGCAATCAATTTTTCTAATTGCACGGTCCTTTTTTCTAGCCCCTAATAGAAGCATTCAGTATAATTCCTCAAGAATCAGAAAGTCACACAGTGACAAACCTCTTTGCAGTGGTTATTTAATTATTGCTCTGCTTAGACCTCAGAAAAAGGACCGTGATAAACTGCAGGAAATTTTCTGAGGATTCTTGGATGGTTAGCCAATGGGTGTCTATTTATGTTTGGTGCCTCAGTCTCCTACTGTCCTTTATGCAGTCTATATATTTCTTATTCCCAGGCATACGATATTTGCAAGCAACACTTCATCCTTGCAGATCACAAAGATGGCAAACGCAACCACCAGGCAGGACCGATTTGGGGGTCTGCATTTCTTCAACCCTGTGCCTATGATGAAGCTCGTGGAGGTGAGTGTCTTAGGCACGCCTTACAGGGGCTGCTGCCATCATGTTCCATCAGCTACTGCTGTAGCCCAGCAGTAACTGATGGAACAATTGTCAGCAGTGGGATTTCAGTTAGATTGACAGAGCAGATCTCAGTTTGCAGCTGTTCTGCTGTGGAATTTGCTACCTCTAATCATTAGAGGGTGCTGCAGTCTCTGTTGAGGGGCGGCTTTAAGAGGCAGAGGGAACTCCTTCAGTCTCAGGGCTCCTGAGTTTTCCACTGAACTGCCAACAGAGGTGCTGTTTAGAGCCATCATTTCAAGCAGGGAGGCTCATTCATAAGGATTGCTGATACCATTGTAGAAATAAATAGAAAATGTCAGGAGATGAAATGTTATTGCCTTGTCGCTTTTGAAACAAAGTCAGTTGTGTTTGTTTCAATATTTCCAGTGCTACAGGTTGGGAAGAGGGGCTGGAAATCTCACCAGAGGAAAAGGATCTGGGAGTGCTGACTGACAGCTGCTGAATGTGAGCCAGTGTGTACCCAGGTGGCCAAGAAGGCCAATGCCATCCTGCTTGTGTCAGAAATAGTGTGGCCAGCATGACCAGGGCCATGACTGAACTCAGCACTGGTGAGGCCACACCTTGAATGCTGTGTCCAGTTCTGGGCCTTTTACTACAGGAAAGACATTGAGGTGCTGGAGAGTGTCCAGAGAAAGGAAACAGAGCTGGTGAAGAGTCCAGAGAGTAACTCACATGAGGAGCAGTGAGGGAGCTGGGACTGTTTAGCATGAGAAAAGGAGGCCACTCCTTATCACTCCCTAAAATTACCTGACAGAGGGTTGTAGAGAGGTGGAGTAGCTGCTAGAACTTCCTATATCAGGAATTAAGGCTGTTTAAATGGTTCTCTTGAGTGATGTCTTTGTGTTTCCCAAGACAAGAGACTATGTAGCTTTTAGAGTTATTTTGATACACTATAATCTCTTAAGTGTGCTTTCAAAGAATGGTTCCTTTTACCATCCTTCCATAGTGGCTGAGTGGGAAAGTGTCTTAAAGAAACACAACATTGCAAAATGCTGTATCTATGTGTCAACTAGTGTTTTGTGTCTGCTACATATCTCTACGTTCAAGTTGGTTTTCTGCAAAATGTTTTGTGAATTTCTGGAAGAGTTCTGGATTGCATTGCTGCAATGGGGAAATGGGAGAGAGTCTCAGAAATATGCTTATGCTCTCTCTACCTTCCCTGTACCCAGGTCATCAAGACTCCAATGACCAGCCAAAAGACTTTTGAATCACTTGTGGATTTCAGCAAAGCAGTAGGAAAGAGTCCAGTCAGTTGTAAGGTGAGTATGCTTTGACAGTATAGTGTTCAGAGGGTCTGTCCTTGTAGGCTGTTAATTTTAAGGTGGTAGGTTTTAGTAGATGCATCAGCACACTTCAAAATTTTCCAGGCTGCTTCTTGTCCTGTTTGTCTTCATAATTAAGAGCAATTTGACAAAGAAAACACCCACATTTACCACAAATTCTTCAAAGTCCAGTGACTGTAGTCATCTTGTCTAGAGCAGCAAAACTCACAGGTATCAGGGCTTACTGTTAAGGAGTATTTTTTTCAAGTCCTGCAGAAGCATAGACTGGAGAGCTTAAGTAGGAGCTCAGCTTTAGCCATGCCAGAAACAAAACTGCTGCCTCTTTTACTGTGAAGCAGTTGGCTGAATCCTCCATGGTGTGTGCTCATTGCAAGTTTTTCTTAAGACTGCAGTAACTAGACACATATTAATCTTAATTTGTTCTCAGCTTTGGGTTTTTTTCTCTAGAGAAACACCCTACTTTGAAAGCTCACTTTTTCTGAATCCATTAAGCTGTGGTCTGGATAGCTTTATGCAAGCTACTGCTTTGGGTTTCACAGTCCCCAGGAGACAGTTGATAATAAAAAGAAGGGCCTGCAATCCGGTAGTTACTGGATTAATTAATTCAGCTTCTGGATGCTGGACTCTAATTCTGGCTATGTTCTCTAAATTCTGAACAAATTGTTCTGTGGCCTTATTTGACTTTTTCCTATTTCTGTCACTTTTTTCCTATTTCCTGTTTAGTCCTATGCAATATGTAGAATATGTGGTGAATTGTTATAAATTAGCTTGGATAGAGAGTAATGCAGTATTCACATCTGAACTTTTCTTTATTTTTAATTCTTGCCTATAGGGGAAACATTGCTTGGGATTCTCTGGATGAAATATTGAGATAAAGTGGAATAAATAATAAACATCTGAAACAGTAATAATATTCAAAATAATGCTATATTTGCAAAACTCTCTTGTGTTTGATTGATTGATTGTGCTTTTGATTGATGCTTGTGCAAAAGAAGTTTTGTGTTCATTTGTTACCTTCTTGCAGCATGTGTCTTATCTTTTCATTGTTAGTGTTGATGTTTGCTGTTAAATCTATCCAGACTTTCAAAAGTATGGATCACCAATGAGCAGTGGGGGAAAAGCAGACTATTTAGTCAGGAGCGCTTCTGGTAGTGGACACACACACATAAAAAAAACCTTCTAGGGAAGAACTACTTTTTTCCTAACCTTCAGGAAATCGTATCATTAGACTTGATAAAGAAAAGACTAGCCATATTAAAGAAAAGACTAGCCAGATTCATTGCTTTGCCTTGTAGTAGTCTTATTGTTCTCAGTCATGATGACTGTTTATGTGACATTCCTTGTTTGAATTTCACCATGTTTTATGCTTTAATATTGAGCAGATAAATGAGATGAAAAATACAGTTCAGAGAGTATCTTAAGTAATGATACGTCTTCATCCACTTGTTTTATTTGTCACGTAGCATTGAGTGTAGTTTACTCTTCTGGTAAAGAGTGTTTATTAGGATCCCTTTTTTTGTTTTTCACAGGATACCCCAGGATTTATTGTAAACCGTCTCCTGGTGCCATATATGATGGAAGCTGTTCGTCTTTTTGAGCGAGGTACTTGGTGGGATATTGACTTCAAGGGATGTTGACACATAACACTACTAAATGTTACTTTGCTTCAGAAAAGCCATGGAGTTCCCTCAAAATTTTCAGACATTAAAGGCTGGAAATGAATAGAAAATGTTAAATATGAGCCAACATGTGTAGCTGGAAAGGCCTTGCCTTCATTTTGAAATGTCAGGTTATGCAGAGTTGGAAGATACTTGTGTGTGAAATTCCTGATGGTGTAAAATGTTTCTGGCTTGGAGATGACAAGGTGAGTGTAGTGCCATTGTAAAAATATCCATTGCCAGCTATTCAGGAACTTTCTCTATCCCAGGAGACATTGATAAAAGTGATTGAAAGTCCCATAATGGGACCATTAGTAAAGTTCTGCTGAGTTCACTTACATGGAGCTTGTGAAACAAACCACCAGTTTTGAGGTAAGTGGTGTTGATTTTTAGAACATAGGTTCTTCAGGAACTCCAGTCTCACTGCTGGCCTCTTTTACATTAATATGTAGGTAAAAATAATTATGAATCCCCAAAGAACCACTGAATTTTTCAAAGCATTGATGCTTGTTTTGAAAAGAAGCCAATAATGAATGTAGTGGATAAAGATGAAATTACAGATTATAATTGCTTTTATTTCAAGTGCTCTGCTTGTAGCTCTGTGCTACTAAGAATGTCATTTGAAACATTTTGTTTTTGAAATCACTGCCTTTTTACAGATGAAAGCACTCCATTTTCAGGATTCCACCAAGTATGCTTTAAATATTAAAAATCTCTTTTAAAGCACATGGAAGGGATGGTTTGATTTCTAAAAAAAAAACCTAAAACAACACTACTTGTTTATCCATCAACAGATGTACCTAATTACATCTCAAAGGGAGAAAAGAGCAAATTTAGTGACTTGAAAGGCAAAGGCATGAATGTGAGGGGACATTATTCTTTTAGAAAAAGTCACAATTTTGAATAAAGTGTATGGGTGTTTCAGTGTGTTTAAAAGAGGTGTCTTTGTTAAGTGACATGTATCATTGTGCATATTTCAGGAGACAACAGAACTTTTAATTAAATGCAGAAGAAAACAGTTACTGAGTTTGTATGTTAAAACTGAGTGCTTTTGCCTGAGTAAAACAATATTTTGATTTAATCTTTATTCTTTTCGTATCTTCTCTCATAGTATGATATTTCCAAAATTGCTAAAATTCATTTGTGACTTTTTAACTTTAATGAAATCTATTTAATAAGCTAGTTGATGTCTTGGGAAGATTGATGGCTGTCTTTTAATTCATATGTTCCAGTGAATCAGGTTAAATTTCTATAATATCCTTTTGTGTTTATTCTCAGAGTAGACACTTGAGCCAGATTGTCATCTACATTAAATGAAATTGTGTCTCTTTCCTGGTAACCCCAAGCACTGAAAATGCCATTTTATTGGACTAGTCCTTGCATTTTTATTTGTACAAAATCTCATTCTCTTAAAGGTGCACTTTTGCATAAGCACTATATCTTTAGTATGTTAACAATGACTTAAACGGGGCGTATTGTAAATATTAATATATAGTGGTCTGTACTGCTCTGTCCTTAGTGGATAAACTAAAAAGCAATCAACTAAGTTTCTGTGGAAGTCTGCTTTATACTAGGACAGACTAGAATGAGCTAGGGATATAGCCCTTGTTTGCCCTTTTACTGCTTTTTATTGTGTTGTAATTAAACTGTCAGGTGGCCAAGTCCCAAGTTTGACAAAGTGGGACAAATCTGTTGAGAGAACAAGTCTGTATACCTGCATCAGCTCAAAATGAGCTCAGGATTTAGCTGTGTTTGAATTTGGGAAACTGAAATTATGCTCGAATTAGGTAAGGCTAGTCTCCGCAGCTTCTCAGAAATAAAATGTGGCTTAAAAAAAACATTGTCAGCTTTAAAGAGTAAAAGGCAGTTTATATAAATTATTAGTTCATACAGAACTGTCACTGAAGTTGTTACCTTTACAAGAGATTTTGTAAATTTATTTCTAGGGTTCTCAGATCTTAGACATATCAATTGCACAGGCTGTGTCTGCCAAGCTGCCGGACACCGTGTGTGCCTGTATGCATTGAGCATGGAGGTTACTTAACAAGACCTCTGGGGTTTGTATAACTTCATCCTTTTTGTAGCATCTGCAGAGAAAGTGCACTGCCTTTCTCAAAATTTGGGTTAGAGATATGCAATAGAGGTGCATCTGCTTTGATGACAGTCTAAAATATGTATTCCCAGCTAAAGAATGAGGTTAAAGTTAAGTGTGACGATGTGGCAGCACAGGATTTGTATTTTTATAAGCACAGACTGAAGTAGAAGTAACAAATTTCTGATAATTTTGATTATTTCTTTTAAAATAATTTTGGAATTCATGAATGCAGCTGTACCTGCGCAGTCATTTCAGGTCTATCTTATCTGCCATCTCTGATTCCAGCAGATATCCTCTGGTGATAGGTGCTGTAGCTAAGCAGGTTACTCAGATGCTCCTGCTCCCCTCTTCATGCCTGCCTTACCCATCAGCTGGATATCACTTGTGTTCTGGCAGCTGTAGTGTAAGGATAGCTCTGTCCTGTGCATCGTTCAAAAGCTGCTGCTGATCTCATGAAGCTGAAATTGAAAATTGAGTTGTTTCCTTACTTACCCTGTCCTGCTGCCTCTAAAAGAAGCTCTTGTTTCTTCATAGTGACTAGTTCTTCCTTTAGTTGTTCTGATAGGGTCAGCATGGTAGCTGTGGCTCCATCAGCAGTGCAGTGCTCTGATTGAAATGCAAGAGGAAACCAGGAAAATGGAAAGCAGGCCTGCAGGGCTTGCTTTTTTTTTTCTTTTTTTGTGAGAGGTTCAGCTGTATGCTCCACCATGTGTATGCTGACTCCAGTTTTTGTGGCTGTGAAACATGCAGAGATTTCTGTGAAGAGCTGCACCAGGGTGAAATAACACCCTGTTAATTATTTATAAGTGGTGCCAAGGAGATGCGGAATCTTCTCTGTTCATCAAACTGTCAATCTTTTCTCTAGGAGATGCATCAAAGGAAGATATTGATGTTGCTATGAAGCTGGGGGCTGGCTATCCCATGGGTCCATTTGAACTGCTGGACTATGTTGGGTTGGATACCAGTAAATACATTATAGATGGTACTGCATGCTTCTTTTTTCTACCTTTCCACTTTCTAGCTAAATTGTAGATGTTTTAATGTAAATGTGACTCTTAATTATTTAAACTGAATGTTTCTGGTATAGCCTTTGAACTGCTGAGGAGAAAGGAGTTAGGATTCAGCTCAGAATGCTGTGTGAGTACAGCATTTGCACTGCATGCCTGTGCCCTTTGTACATGGGGACAGAACAGTGGTGGCTTTGCTGACCTCATCAAGTGCTATTGGAAAATAATAATAATAATATTAACATTAATGGTACTTTATATTACTAAAAAGAATCAGTGGGAAGGGTGACATGTACTGGAGGTAAGAAATTCTGTGAAAATCAACAAATGTTGAGACTCCCTATCCTTTTTCTACCAGCCATATTTTCATTCTTAATTAATAGGAAACCCAGCAAATGTCTCAAAAGATGTAAGTGAACCATCTCCCTGTCACTTCAGTTAATAAGTGGGTGAATGTCAATACAGTAACAAAACCATACATAACTGGTGATGGCTTGTTGATGGTTGTTGTGTTCTGTTGAATGAGGAGCTTAAACATTCTCTGAGGCAGAATGTCACTTTGATAATGGCATTTTCAGTGGAACCTCTTTTGCTCTTAGTCAGTGCTGTGGAGTTGTGTTATATTGTTCTGAGTAACCGTGTGTTTCACAGGTAGAAATTCAATTTGGAATTTCTTTGCACTTGAATTTCTTTTCAGCAGAGCCTTTATTTTATTTCCTTGTACTGAACTGTGTTTTAAAAAATCCTCAATTGTGGAGATTATAAGGTGTTTGGAGTGCACTGGGCCTGAAGACTAATTCTTAGATTTGTGCATAATCATCAGTACTGACCTGGGCTTTAAGAAGCTGTACTGCTGGGTCTCAGAGAGCCTAGAATAAGTTCCAGTCCTCCTTCAATTTTCTGACCTTTGAATATTTTTCTGAGGACATGCAAATCTCTATTATCTTTTCATCTAAAGAGAACTGTTACTAATTCATCCACTTCCCTTCCTTTCCAGGATGGCATTCATTAGAGCCCAACAATCCTCTTTTTGCACCCAGCCCACTCCTGAATAAACTGGTAGAAGAAAAGAAGCTGGGTAAAAAGACTGGAGAAGGATTTTACAAATACAAATGAACTCCAGACCTGAAGAGGTGTTAAACTATCTATATATGCGATTCAGCATTGCCATAATACAGGTGTTTAAACCTTCCCAAGGGTGGCACAAGCTGCATTTAGAACATAACTCACTTGTGAACTGAGTGATTGCACTAGTTAACTATGGTCAACGCTTGATTTGGTAGATTGTTTTTTTCTTGTAATTCCAAAAATTTTCTATGTACAGTGCCTTCATGAAATGTTGATTTTTCTCAGGTGCAGTACAGAATGACAAGTGAATTTATGTATTTGAAACGTTATTATATTGATGGGGAAAATCCTAAAAATAACCTCACTTTCTTAAAAATAAAACTTTCAACAATTTTGTATTGAGTGTGAGGGCTTGCAGTTGTGTCTTGGATGGAGCCCACAGGGTGGCAGTCTCTTCCCACACTGGCAAATGCAGCCTGGAAAGGCAGTGGGTTGTTTTGTTAGGATTTTTCTTAAGTGCACTGCTAATCTGTAGATGTAAATTACAGTGCCTTGAACAATAATGTTTTGAAAAGACATATTTAAAAACAAATAAAGAATCCCACAATGACAGGCTGCTCCCCAAACAGAAGGTTCCCAATAAAGCATTTAAAAGCTCATGATTTGCATTGGGGTTTTCTAGCATTTTCAATTAGTGATTGAGGGCCTCCTTTGGCTAGGTGCTGTAGAAACATCATGAAGATTTCTAGGGGATTTCTGGTCTCAGGGGCATAAGCTAGGATGCTGGTGAAAGCTTCTGAATTTTTTCTAGAGTCCTGTAAATTGGCTGTATTTAAAGTGTCATTTTTACACCATACACTACTACTGCAATTGGGAGTTTGTGCTGTGTAAATAAGCAAATAAGTGTCTCTGGCTGTGTTAGGCACCTTCTGTTTTGTAACTTCATTTCCTTTGGGGCGTAGCAGAGCTGAATTTGTCCATGGTGGGAGTGCATCAAATCATGTCTTTTCTCCAAGTATTGCAGAGCAAGTGGGCATGAGGATTGGTGTTCCAGTTCAACTCAGTAGTAGTGTTCCTTTACTTTCTGTACTTAGTGCTTATATACATATTTTTAGTTCCAGAAATTATGAATAATTATTTAATGCAGAGCTGCTTCTTCCTCTCTCCTCCATCATCTAATTCAGATTGCATATATAGAAACTGAGTGCTGACAGAGGATAGTTTCCTGGACATGATCACATAAGAAATCTCTGAGTAGAGAATAATATTTTTGGTTTATTGGATCCTGGTCCTTAATTACATATCATCTAATTTTGAGCCACTTGCCTTGAAAGAAGAGGGTTAAAGGAAAGAAATAGTAGTATAAACAGTCTCTTTTCTTTACTAATATGTTGTTAAACTGCCTTGGTTTTACTGGAATACTGTCCACTTCTTACATATGAAGTCTGTTTCACTGAAGGTTCTTAATGCTTGTAGCTCAATTTAGTGAATTTTAAATACTCCAGGGTGAAGTTAGCTTCAGTACTACTGTTTTCAGTAGTAGGTAAAAATGGGAATATGTATGAATCTTGTGTCTTAAAAAATGCTATTTGTTTTTTTACAAAAAACATTTAGGTAGAAGTAATTTGCTACTACTCCCTTTACTTGGATGATGATCTTTAATTTGGAAAGGGGAAGGTTTATGGCAAGACATAGGCTATTTAATGTTAAATGTGCAAAATATTTTTCACTAGTAAATGTGATATTTTAGAAAAATAAACTTTCTCTAAAACAGTGTTTTCCTTTCAGGAGCTCTAACAGGTACAGTATGTGTATATGTAATAAATAGAGGCATTTTTGAGTTGGACTTGATATTTGAGAAGAGACTTCTTTTTTTTTAGTAGAATAGGCCCTGTGGAGGTACTTTAATGGTGGGTGGGGATAGTTTATTTTATCAGCATGTAAAGTGCTGTGCCAGGATGAGTAAAGATGAGGTAAAGGGTGAAAACTTCAAATGCTCCCTCTTGAATCTAGATCAGAATGCAGAATGGTAATTGAATGACTGTAGTCAATGAAACAAAGTAAGCCTTTCCCCACTGAGGAGCAAAAGAAGGCATGGAGAATGTAGAAGCCCCTTTTATGAGAGGAAAATTAGGAAATTAGCCAGAAGTAGGATATTAAGTAGTCACTCCTGAATTTTACAAGAATTTCTACAGCTTTGATAGGTTAAAGATTTCCAGAGAGCTTAAAGAATGAATATGTAATGAAATAAAGGAGTTGTCTGTTGCTACCTTTTCCTCAGTCAAGATTATTTCCCATCCCTTGCTGTGGCTGTGACTTGAAGCAGAGGTACCTGAGCCACCTTCCACTGCACACAGTGTAGATGAAGGAGAATCTCCTGCTGGTCAGTACCTCAGACTAGCATGTGGTACATCAGAACTGTTCTTACCATTCAGCTCTCCTGGAATTTTTATTAATAGTGGAAAAGAGATTGTGGAAAAAAATAAAGGATAGAAGAGAAGGGAGGGAAGGGTGTTTGGTTTCCCTCACTGCCTACTTTTAAAACCTTTAGTCTTTATTATCCTTTCTGTCAGCAGGCCTCACAGATTTAGAGCATTTGCCCCACTTTGGTCAAAGCTTTGGGATGTATGCTTGGCACAGCTCGAGGGCAGCTTGACAGCCAGCAGCTGAGGAGTCGGACGTGAGCCCAGCGACTGCAGCTGGGAAGATGGCTCCAGATTCAGCATCTGGGTCATTTCAGCTGCCAAATGTGCTCCATCTGTGGTCAACCTAGCTGCTGACACGGCGGGGGAGAAAACGGGAGCACAGCAAATTTTAAACAGGGACTTGAAAGCAGAATCTTTATTGGGCAGAGGAGGGTGCTCTGCAGGAGTGGCTTATGGAGAATAAAGTGCAAGAGGTTGCAGTAAAGTTTGATCTGGAGAGGAATTAAGTGTGTATAATTGATTGACTCAGTAACTGCATAAAATAACTTGGAAAGGTATCTTTTTTTCTTTCCTAGATGAATTGTACTTGTCCCCCAAGCCATCTCACACAAGGGTTTTGAGGTGACAATGCAAATATCCTTCAAAAACCAATTAACAGGAGTTAACTCCAGCATCTAGCATGGGCTCTTCAGAGATCCAGTACTACCAGCCATGCATTTCAGCAGTGAATCAGGTCTCTGAAAAGCAAGGTAGTGGCTTCTGAATGAGATTCCATTGTGGTTTGGGTTTGTTTTCTTAGTGCCATATTTGGTGGCTTGTTCTGTGGATGGGGCTCTTACACACCTCAAAGTATCTGTGAAACTTTTGTGGTTCATCAGCCAATCTCTTCTGGACACCCACTTATTACAAATTAGTGAATGTTTATCAGGGTGAAGAAACAAGAAAGAAGATATTTGCTGTATGAAGTGTAGTGAGATACGATTGTCTTGTTAAATCTGTGTCTGTTACTAGAATGAGAAGGGCATCTGAAAAATAGTTGTTTTGTTTGCCTGCCAAAAGGTGATTTTGATGTGAAAAGGTCTTGTATGTTCCTGACTTTGTGCCAGGCTTTGGTCAGTGAAGTCTGCAAGTGAGTTAGCTGTAAGTTAATGCCATGCAGTGTATTCCTGTGGCCAGGTGTGGTGCTAGGAGGTGAGAGGTACTAGTGGGTATTCTCTGTTGTTTAGTGCATGCTTGTTATTGCATCTAGAGAAAGCCCCTTTACAGTACCAAGTGACTTTAAAGATGTGGACAAACTACACACAGCTTCTGTAGTTTGTAGAGACCAACTTTTCCTAAGAATTTACTGCTGATGGCTTTGGAGCTAATTTTTTCAATAGAGACACCTGTAGCTGTGGTGCTACATTCTTTTCTAACTAGTACCACAGCAGTGACCCACATCTCAGTATTTTTATTCACTACAGTTTGTGACCATGTGAGCAATTATAAAACTGACCTGAATAGTGCCTTTTCGTTGTGCTTTTTGGAAGAGCTGAGACCAGGAACAAAAGCAGATGCTGTGATTCTTTTGAGAGCTGTATCTTTTCATGTTATAGGTCCCTTCAGTAGCTTTTCGGGTTATTCACTGCCAGAGGGATGTGCTTCTACTGAATTCTGTTGGAGAAGGGTTAAGTAGAGCCACAATCTGGTAACTGTAAAGATGATTTGTAGAATGATCTGCCTTGAGCTTTATGATCTTCTCAAAAGTTTACATCGAAACTGAAATCACTCTTTATATACCATTTACAATCCAATATACTTATTTGTTTATAAATGCAATGCTATGCAGAGTCTTAATTTAAATGTATGACATCACAGAACAGTCTGTGATGATGTTAGGTGTTACTGATAATATATTAAATTTAGGTTTGTATGCCTGTGGAGCAACTTTACACTTGTTCAATTCACTCTTCTCTTTGATTCCCCTAGAGGTTTTCTATTTGGTTTTCCATAAATTGAAAATAACTCACGGCAGTGCATTCTTTGCAGAGAAACCAGCACCATAAAGCTCTAATGCTGGCTGGAAGTTTTGGTTGCTTCTGGGGCAGGAATAATACAAAACATCAAACCTAGTTATTAGAGGAGCCATTTCTTTGTCATGTGGTGGCACAAGGCATCACAGCGAGGCGTGAGGCCAAGCTTTGTTTCCAGCCTGGGGTCAGAGGCTGCAAGTTGGCCACGACACAGGAGGATATTTTAGCACAAGGCTTTTGCTTGGCGGGCACTAAGGAACTTGTAGCTTACTTTGGCTGTCCCATGCTGCCAGATAACAGGATTTTTTCCTAGCCTGTTGTTTGCTGTTGCTTTGCTTTGTGCATCTCTGTCCTGCCTGGTAACAGCTTCTTCTATTCTGGTCCATTTTTTTTCTGCCAGCAACCACTTCTGGGTGGTTTTCTGTAAATGGAGAAACCCTTACAGTATTCACTAGTTAAAGAATGCAAGTTTTTTGTCATTAGTAACTTAAACCCCCCCATTTGGAGTCTTGGCTTCAGCAACAAAAATGTTGTGGATTAACCACTTTCACCAGCAAGAGGCTTTCTGATGAGCTGTGGGAAGAAGTGTATGCTTGGTGGTAGGTCTACAGTAAACAGCTGGAATTTGCATGTGGTGAATTAGCACCAAATAAAACCTCCTTTTTTTTCTTAATTATCCTTGCATACTCAAATGGACCTATTAAACATTTGTGCAATAGAAATTGGTAAAACCACATATTTACAGTAAGTGGATCTTGGTTAGGCTCAGGCTGACATTTCTCGGCTCTGTTGGTGGCAGGATCTATGTAAGTGACATATAATCCAAGGAAGGGACCACTCTGATCCCTGACTCCTTGGAATGCAGTG